CCCTGACTTTTATGCTGGTGCAAGGGGTCTAAAATCAGGTTCTTATTCTTGTGTTTGCAGTAGTTCTTTTAAAGGATCATCCCCCAAGAAAATCAAAGTAACTTTTCTCTCTAGCATCTGCACCTTTTCTTCTTCATTTCAATTTTAATTTTCTTTCCCATCAAGACATTGTTTCTTGCCTTTTACCTTCCTTCGGGAAGATGTGGATTACTTTAGAACTGGACATTTTGGTTTTCTTATTTTACTTTACAAGTTGGAAGTACCAATAACCCTGGAGATTTAAGCTGGCTTTCCAACTTTTAATCTTCAGTATAAACAATTTAAGCTAAGTTTTCCAAAATTAATATTAATTTAAACCATCTGTCCACCATCTGCTAATGTGAGATGCAAAATCAGAGTTTCTTTGTGTTCCGTAATCAGACAGTTAAGAAAATACATATACATTTATAAAATGAATTTAAATTTTCTAACAAAGGAATTTTTCTGAAAAGTTATCTTGAAGGCTATGAACACTCGGAGAGAAATTAGCGTTGGTTCAGCGTGATTTTCTGTAACTGAATGCCAAGTGTCACCAGGCATGCAGCCTAGTTCACAAGGATCCGAGTGTAGAAACAATACCCTTTGCCATGTTTTCAAAAGAGAGGAGAACGCTGTCAGAAGCAGATGTAAAATATTGATTTTTAAGAATTTCAGCGCTTGCATTTGTCTACAACGTAAATGTCAAAATGAGGCCTATGCCTGAAAAGATACAGTATAAAATAATTTTTTTTCTGCCCATTAAGTTTGAAATTAGGCCAACAATTTTAATATCTTCCTTGCCAATTATTTCATTTTTCTTCCCTTTTATGTAACAGACTGCGACTATTAGTCCCAGAATTCTTAGATAACCCATCAGTGCTTTGCCAACCCAATACTCTTATTTGCTTTCTTTATATTATTTCCTTGGGAAGTTAATGCCACATAATTCAAAATAGTTTGATTAATGTATTTTTGAACATATACCTAATCACCTTGAAGTCTTACACACAATAAGTCTGGCTTTTAGATAATAAATGAGTTTTGCTGTTTATACGTCAAATTTGATACCACATCGACATAGGCTTGGAAATTCAAGTCAGTTGCTCAGTCTGTGGAATATGAAAAAAAAGATGATTTCAAATTAATTTTCTAAAATTATAAGGTTTCAATCTCCTCCTGCAGGCAATTCTCCATCAGATTTTGGGCTGAATGTCACTATGTAAGCATCAGTTGGGAGCTGAATGGGCAATCAGTGTTTTATCTGCTGAGAGAGACCACCGTGTGTACTCGGTCCCCTTTATTAGAGAGATTTCTCTAGCAGTTGACACTGATGTACAGTAGAGCTTCTCTGGGGTGACATTTAAGGAAAATGATTCCATTTCACTAACACACAAAATCAATTAGAAAACTATTTTCTGGTGCAGGTTTTTGAATTTATGAGGTTTCTCATAGTAAGCTGTACCTTTCAATTTCTTTATTAAGGTGACAATTGTGTCCCATGAGACTTTTGGGGACGACAATCATTTGCGTGCCCTGAAAGAAGCACACACGTCAGGGACAAGGGTGGATGACTTTGTCCTTCATTTTTTAAATGAACTCTATCACAAACTGATCATCAAAACTGTGTATTCACAGGCCTTTTCAATAAGTATATATTCAAACTGATGGGGGTTGGGGACAGGCAGCTAAGCTTATTCCATGGTGGGTGTTTATTACCAAGTTCAAAAGCATAATGATGGCTAAATTATTTAGGCAGGCAATATTTTAGTCAGTGTTAGACTTCTTAGAATTTACGGTTAAGATATCATAAGTGAGCATGGATTGACTGCTTTTGTTTGTTAGGTTTGTGTGCATGTATGTGTTTGTGTGTGTGCATATGTATTCATGTATGCTTGTAAACAACAGAGGTTAACCACAGTTGTTCCTCAAGTGCTACCCATGTTTTTTTGAAGAGAGGGTCTCTCACCAGAACCTATAGCTGGCTGCCTGGTGTCTGCTAACTGGACAGGGAATCCATTAATCCCTTTGTCTCTTCCTTCCCAGTACTGGAATTTTAAGTACATAGCACTACACAGCAAGCACTTTACCAACTGACCTATTTTCTCAGGCTTCCGCCTTTATAAAATAAAGGGTTTTTTTTTCTTTTTTTCTTTTTTTTTTTTACAGGATGTTGTTGGCTGACCTCTAACTCAAGACTCTCTTGCCTAAATTTCCCAGATGCTGAATAAAACTATCCAGTCTACAAGTTTTTGTTGAATCATTTTAGGCAACCTTCTCGTAAGTTCTTAAAAAGAAATATCTAGAAGTTATAATAATTTTTGTACTGCTCATTGGAAATTTGAGGTTCCATGTTAGCAGTTATTTAAAAAGAAGACTTTGTTTGCAGCTTTAGTTTAGCTCCAAGTGCAACTAGAAAGGAAGCACCGGCTGCATCCTCTTTGTCTATCTAATAGAATTTCATCAGTTTTAAGACGTTAGGAATTTCCCCCATCAAACATTTATTGTGACTAAATCAGCACTGAGCTCTCGGCTAAACTAGAAGAAAGTCACTAACAGAAAAAGACAGAGATGGACAGGTGAGTACGTGGTAAAGCCTGGCTGTCTGAATGACACCGAGCAGAGGCACTGTAGATACCTGGGCCCTAGTGATGGGGTTCCTAATGTTGGATGATATGGACAGGAAAGGATCTGAAGAGGAAGTGATGTGCAATGGGGATCAAAGGTCAGGTGAGAGAAGAGCTCTAGCAGAAAGAGGCGCAAAAGGAAGGACAGAGGCACAAAGGTATGGATGTGTGCAGGAATGTTCCAGCAAGGAGGCATATTAATGGGACTGTAAGCACAAGGCAGTTAACAAGAAGGGATGGGAGTGGACTGGATAGGGATCTCAGGAAAATCATATGAAATGCTAAAAGTCTTTCTAAGATGCATGGCTGCTTTCATTTCCATTTTTGTTTTTTGAAATTGCAGATTGTGCAATTGTCATTGGAAGAGATCTGTCAGCTGTCAGGGGAAAGAGTAAATTATAACAAAAAAGTAATGTTGCCTGTTCATGGGTGAATTAAAACTAACCTCCTGGATGGTTAATCAAGTTGAATATCCATCCTTTTATTACTCAAATGTTTATGGCAGGTTGTGTCTGATATTCAGTGAAGTCATTACAAGCAGAAGGTAGCACTAGTCCTTTAGGGGCAGAATAAAACCTCAACATATACAAAAAATGGAGTAACCCTATGTAGCTTATCAGATCACCATGGCTTAAAACTAGATTCAACAGCAACACTAATTCCAGAAAGCCAACAAACACATGGAAATTAAACAATGCTCACCTGAATCATCAATGGGTCAAGAGAGAAATAAAGGGAGAAATTAAACACTTCCTAAAATTCAATGAAAATGACCACACAACATACCCAAATTTATGGGACACAATGAAAGCAGTGTTAAGAGAAAAGTTCATAACACTAAATGCCTACATAAAAGAAGCTGAAAAAAAAATCCCACACTAGTGAATTAACAAAACATTTCAAAACTTTAGAACAGAAAGAAGCAAACTCACCCAAGAGAACTAGATGGCAGGAAATAATCAAATTGAGATCTGAAATCAACAAAATAGAAACAAAGAAAACAATACATAGAATCAATGAGACAAGGAGTTGGTTCGTCGAGAAAAAAATCAACAAAATGGACAAACCTTTATCCAAACTTAACCAAAAGGCAGTGAGAGAATATCCAAATTAACAAAATTAGAAATGAAAGGAAAAATAACAACAGATGCGGAGGAAATCCAGAGAATCATCAGGTCATATTTCTAAAACCTGTACTTCACAAAATTGGAAAACTTAAAAGAGATGTACTGATATAGAAAGACATTCATAAATATGGTACAATAAGGACACTCAAAGTCAATAGAGGAAGCTGATGGGTCAGTTTCAAGACAGTTGAAAGCAACTGGATACTTCAAGGAGAAACCATAGATCAGTAAGACACCAAGACAGAATATTTAGGACAAACTTGACCATGAATAAGAGTAGATAACTGGGTACCATTAGGGGAACTCTAGAAGATAAGTTGCTAGAGACAGCAAATGCAGGTAGCTTTCTAAAAATATCTAGGAGATAGAGTTGGATACAGAAGGATGGAAGGATGGAGACAAGGAGGGAGGGGAGAGGACCAAGGAAAGAGAGGGTGGGAGAGAAGTAGGAAATAACAGAAGGAAGGGAAGGAAGGAAAAAAAAGGGAAGGAAAGAAAGAAGAGGGAGGGAGGACGGGAGGGAGAGAGAATATTGAAACTAAAACGCAAGCAGGAGATATATAATATGGCTCCAAGTTAAGGACAAAGATTCCAAGTGAAGAAATAATAGGAATGAGAAGGATTTGTGATCTAACAAGCAGAGTCATGGGAACAGGTACGTGTTTTGTATTTATAGCATTTTGAAAGTCTTCACTGTAATGAACAGTTTAAATGCAGAAAAATTACTCCAGACTAGTGCTCGCAAGGCCAGAGAAGAGAAATGATTATGTGGAGAATTCAGATGTTCAGAGTTGTGAATTAGTGTACCACATCAGCCCATCCATTGGAATGAAGTGCCATATGAAATGTAGTAGCTGGGAGTCTGAGACCAAGGGAGAGTAGGTATGCCTACTCTGAACTGTCTGCCAAACTTCCTTACACTCCTAACGCCGCCCTGTGAAGAAATCCTTCATTCAAAACACATCCTAGCTCTTTTCATCAAACTCTTGCCAAATAACCCAAGCTGACCCAAAACAAATTGACAAGTCGGACCAGGAGAAAGGAATCTTTCTTTAGGAAGTAGTGGAGGAGCCTGTAACCCAGTTGTATACATGACGATCACTGCACTCCCGTGAGCCATTCTTTTGTTTTTGCTCGACAAGGCTAGATGAATGCTGCTCATGTTGCCCGTGAGGAAATGTGAGGCACTAAAGAGCCAGCAAGAGTGGAAACCACACGCAAAGTGTCCCACCTGAAATCAGAACAGTGAAAGTGTCGCCGTATTTCCTTTGCAGAGTCTTTATGAAAGCTAACGGGTCCTTTTGGAGCTTCAGAGTAATGCCGAGATAAGGAAGCCAGCCTTTTATCAGGGGAGGTTCACCAGGTCGCCTATGAAAAGGAAAGAAATCAAAGAAAAAAATGAAATCATCTACGTTTTAATACATGCAGGTTATGTATCCAGTCTAAATAAAAACACATGAACTGCACAGGCTCTCTCAGTTTAGAACTTCATTGGTTCATGAGTTGTCATAGACATGGGCTTATAGGGCTTTCGGTTTCTGTGGATATTGGGTAGGTACTGCAGTTCCTTGCTTTTGTTGATCAACTTTTGATACCATTTTTTCTTAGAAGGATTCCATGGCTGCTTGACTGCTAAGTCACAGTCTGATGGATTTATCATATGTCCAGTTTTCTATCACTGTACACCTGAAGGGTCTGTGGCTAAGAGGATCAGTAGGTAACCAAATCGATTTGTAGAATGTATTTTGCATAAGTGTCAGTTTGGTACAACGCTGATAAAAAAAAAGTTAATTGTCTGATTTTCCTTTTGTCTTTTGCAATTCATGCTGTAAATGATACCTACTTAATCTAGTAAGAACTAAACTTGGTTATTTTATTTTAACAATTTTATTGTATGTATATGGGAGTTTTTCCAACCTGTATGTTTGTGTACCAAGTGACCAAGGAGGACCAAAGATAGCATTGGATACCCTGGAAGTAGAATTAAAGACAGTTGTGAGTCACCATGTAGGCCCTGGAAATTGAATTGGGGTCTTCTGAGAGAGCTCAAGTGTCTTTAATCTTTGATCTTTCTCTTTAGCAACCACCCAACTTAGTGTTAACTAACATTTGTGGTTGTGGGCTATGTACTTGCCAAGTGTGATGGCTGATCTTGGTTGTCAACTTGACACACTTGGGAAGAGGAAACATCAACTGAGAAGTTTCCTCCACCAGATTAGCCTGTGAGCATGTCTGTGGGATATTTTCATGTTTTCTAAGTAATGGGAGATAACCTAGCCCACTGCGGGCTGTTTCCCATAGGTAAGTGATCTTGGAAATTATAAGACAATTGGTCCTAGCCAGAAAGAGGGAGAGGAAGAAAGGAAAGAGAAGAAAGACTGATAGATGAAAGAGAGACAGAGACAGAGAGAAAGCTATGGTGTTGACGAATTAGGTTGGTACGGTAAATAACCAGACCAGCTCAAGAATAACAGTTATTTTTTTAATAGTTGAAAAGGGGAAACTCACTCTACAAGAGTGGGAGGTCAGAAATCCAATCGGTCCGGCGGGCACTGCACAGAGAGACAGCGCATCTGTGTCCTACCAGTTTTGTTACCTAGGCTACAGGAAGCCACACCCTAACTAGTGTGATTGGTTGATAGTTTCCCCATCGCTATGGTCTCTGCTTCATTTCCAGGCTGAATTCCTGCCCCAATACCTTTGAACGGTGGACTGTTGCATGGGATTTTAAGCCAAATAAATAAGCCCTTCTCACCCAAGCTGCTTTTAGGTTAGCGTGCTATCACAGCAACAGAAAACAAACTAATATACCAAACTGCTATGTAATAGACCTAATCTAAGATAGAATTAAACTGCTTATAAACCATGCATTTCAATTGCTGATTATTTAATTTCATAGACATCCATATTTCATTTCATAGTAGCATGGGGTGTTCAGTTACATGGACTAGGTCATTTATCTCCCAACTGTATGCAGAAGCACTTAAATCTACAAATTTAGGGTAGGAGTTCATTAAATCTTAATAAGACTTCATTGTATTTATGTATGTTAAAGCTTTAGGGTAATGGTGCACATGGAACTTGAAGGTTTTCAAAAAACACTTTAGTGAATTTTGCGCATTGGAAGGAGGTGTGCTCTTTAGAATGAACGAGGCACACATAACCCACTGTGTTTGTTTTCCGTTCATCTGGTTGATCAAAGAGTTCAGAACCAGATGTCCCCTTGAAGGCTTTAGTGTGTTCCCTTGTTCTCGTGGCCAAAGAATCTCAGGTCTCAGATGTGAAGACATTTTCCTAAAGGTTAAGAACATTCTGTAAACTCTGCAGCCCCACAAATGTATTTTCAACCACCCAGGAAAATCAGTCAATCCATGAACCCAATTAAAATATATATATATATATATATATATATATATATATATATATATCAGCAATATATATATATATAGATATATATATATCTATATCTCACAGCAATGACGAGCTCTGGCTGCACTGACAGACACATGCAGTGAACACAGTCTACTGCAAATCCGAGAGCTCTTGCTGTGCTCCGGGTGTCAAATGTCACAGAATTTAGCTGCCAACATGAAGCTCTTTGTTATCAGCTGTCAATCGGGCTGGAATTACATAATCAGAAGAACGACAATGAATTAGCTTGAAAAATCTGCTATGCTATTGACAACAATAAAGATGCTGGTGCAGAGCACGTGGGAGATCTTGGAGGTGAAGTGCTTGCTTACTTTGTTCGAATGAAATTCTCAGTTTGATTCCTGGCACCACACAAAGAAAAAGAAACCCTCAAAACCTCAGTATAATTTTCCTGAGTTTTGTATTTTGTTACCATTTTATGAAGTTTTTTTTTTAAAATAACGACTACAGTTAAGATTGTTTGTTAAATATTACTAATTAAGTAATTTTAAGCATGTGAAACATTCCTTAAAATACTATGAATTAAAAGTTTCTTGTTTTTTGATCTCTGACATTAGCAAACTTATATTGCAGAATTTCTTCCAGTCATTTATCTATTTATCTAGTAAATACAATCTGATTTAAGATAAAAATAAGACAAACTGAATAATCCTTTTTTTTATCCTTGAACGGATCAAAACAAATATTCAGGACTTCAATTCTCTGATCCATCTGTGATACTACGTGCTTCATGCTTGTGATCAATCATAAATATTACTAGCTCAGATTTAATCAAAGGTCAAGATTATCATCATCTCATCAAGGGCTTTAATGCAGCTGTACTAACCCTATCAGATGTCTTCACTTCCCACATACCAACACAGTAGACTTAAACAAAATATAAGCAGCCGATCTTGACACCGTGTATGTGTGTGTGTGTGTGTGGGGGGGGGTTCAAAATAAAAACTCAGTTGCAAAAGAAATCAAAAGAAGATTTTTCATTCTTTATTTGAAAGACAGTTTATTTTATTACTAATATAGCAGACATGGCAGTATTTAAGTATATCTGCACAGACATGTGGAAACAAGCCATGTTGTAGAAAAAAACTTGGATCTTATTCTCCATACCTTTTTCCTATTCTCTTTCTTTTAATTTTTTAAAAAAAAATATGTTTGATTTTTACATAATTGTTTTAGTTATCCTGGGTTTTTTTGTTTTTTAATATGAAATTGAGTATTATTCTTTCAAGGTCTGTAAAGAATTATGTTAAAATTTTGGTGGGGATTACATGGAAGATTGCTTTTGTTAAGATATCCATTTTTACCATGCTAATCCTACCGATCCATGAGCACAGGAGATCTTCTGATATCTTCTCCAATTTCTTTCATCAAAGACTTGAAGTTCTGGTCATAAAGCTCTTTCATTTGCTTAGTTAGACTTACCCCAAAGAGAGTTTATATTATTTTTTCGCTATTATGAAGAGTGCTGACACTCTTATTTTTTTCTTAAGTTAATTTAACATTTATATGTAAGAGGGTTACTGATTTTTTTTTAAAGTTAATCTTCAGCTATGTCACTGAAGGTGTTTATCAGCTGTCGGAGTTCCCTGGTAGAATTTTTGGGGTTGCTTATGTATATGATCATATCTGTCCCCATCTCAATTTGATATGCCATGCTTTGTTGATATTAGTGAGAAATTTGCCTCTTTCTGAACAGAAAAGGCGAAGGAATGGATTAGGGGGAGGGCAGTGAGGAGGCAGGGGGAGGAAATGGGAAGAGAGGAGGGAATTGTGATCAGAATACAAATAGATGAATAAATTTAATTAATAAGAAAATTGAAACAAAAAAAATACATGTTTTGAGACATGGCATTACCCAGGCTGGCCTTGAACTCTAGTATGCTTTTACCTCTACTTCCGAATCTCTGTATTGGGATTACGGGACTGAAGAACCAACTCATGGTTAACTCATTATTGCCTTGAATCCAGTTTTTCACTCTGTTCTGGGGTAACAGACACAAGTCACCACACCCAGCTTTTTGCATGGGTGCTGGGGTTCCAAACTCAGGGCTCATATTGATTGGACAGACACTCACCCACTGAAGCATCTCTCCACCCAGGTCTACCCAAAGTATTGGAGAAGAGAGATCTCATATGAATAGAGCGGGACGTTCAGGGTGGAATTTGTTACACAACTGGACCAGGATCCTTTGAAGGTTTTAAGCATTTTAGTTCACAGCATCCTGTTTCAAAATACTAGCTCAACTCATTCCTTTGATCTCCTTTTACTGTGTCTGGTTTAATGTTGCATTGTGAATACGATTTAGTAAGGCCTTTTGTCATATTCTAATTTAAAACAACTAATGTCATCTTCTATGCTGTCATTCAACCAAAAGTTGTATTCTTCATGGCGCTTAAACAGGGGAGAGGATGGGATGCAGAAATCCAAGGGAATATTAGTTGTGTTCTGTATTACAAAGCCACATTAGAACACCATTTTATTGTTGCAGACATGGCCGGGCCATTATTTCTTACAGCTGTATTTATTTTGGCAGGAGTAAATTTAAGAATATTAAGCACTATGTCACAACTGTACACAGTTACGGGCAGAAAATAGGGCTTGTTCAGCTTACAACCCATCCAAAACGAATAGCAATCTATCTTTATTGTGATAATTGTAAAAACTATGTAAGGAGGAGAGCCATCACTATATTGGAACAGAAAGGCCTGGTGACACATGGCACAGGGCAGCTACTGCTGTTTCTCCTACTCATGCTCCATAACTTTGAAAATGAACTATTCGGTGCTCTCTACTGAGTGAGGACACAGGATGCTCAGTACCACTTGTGGCCAATACAATCTTAAGGCTGGCCTAAACCTGGGCCTGATGTGTTGTATGAAGTTTAGAAGCCTACAGTATCTATTCTTTCTTTATCTCATTTTAATATTGCATACAC